CGTTCTTAGACTAAAACTCCCAGAAGCCTTTGCCACCAGCTGTGCTGGCCAGGATTTCTGGGAATTGAAGTCCAAGAACACCTAAGGGACTCAAGGTTGGGGACCACTGACTTAGGGGAAGCTCCTAAGATGATGGAAGCTGGGCTAATGGATGTGGGCCCATGTGTCATTTGGAGAAAACCGGTGAGTGGAGCACAAGCATTGTGATCTTTTTGTAAAAAGCTTGGTAGCAGAAATCCAGGGTCTAGAGAGGGAAACAAAGATTATCTGCCTGGTGGTCTCTCTAACCCTTTCAGGCGACACCATTTTGCTTGAGAATAGGATAGGTAGACCTCTACCCACGCCCATTCCCCAAGGTCACATGAATTTGTTTGTATGCCGTTCCAAAGACCAAAACATCACACAATTGATTAGGTACGAACATCTATGCAAGCTGAGAAAAGAAGACTAATGAGGGGAGATAGGTTAGCACTCTTCAAATACTGGAAAAGTCATCCTACAGAGGAGGAGCAGGATCTGTTCTCGATCATTCCAGGCAGAGGGCAGGACACATCATCATGGGCTCAAGCTAAAGGAAGACAGATTTTGGTGGAATCTCAGGAAAACCTCTTAACTGTTAGAGCAGTACGACAATGGAACTCATGGCCTCAGGAGGCAGTGAGCGCTCCAATGCTGGAGGCCTTCAGGAGATAGTAGGACAAAGCCAGACCTGTTTTGACTTGGATTCCTGCCTTCAGCAGGTTGGTTGGACTCGATGGCCTTAGAGGCCCCCTTCCAACTCAATTCTTTGATGATTCTTTGATTTTATGTTGGAATATTCAGATCTTCATGCTAGGTCCCCCCCACCTCACAAGGAGAACAACCTGATTCTCCAAGTCCTGTCATCTACTTGCTGTTTCAAGAGATAACATTGAGCTAAGTTCTGAAGAGGACGGTCTACCCTTTATTTGGCATGAGAAGAAGACTCATCCTGAAATCGATATTGGGAAGGAAAATTTCCTGCCAATGCTCAAGCGGGGGATGCGATCCAGACTTTCGTAACCCTACCCCCCCTTCCTGTTTCTCGTACTGTGTCCAAGGTTCAGCTTTCTCCTCGTTTGGCTCAGGGCAGACGAGAGAGTGAGATGTTTCTGCTGAGCTTTCCGACTCTCGCATCTTGAAATGTCGATGGGGTTGTTCTCGTGCTATGGAAGCAAACAGCGAAATAAATCACCCATCCAATCATTAGGGGCGAATTCGCTCATGCAGGACCTTCGCCTTACCTCTTCCTGGACATCGCGTTCCTTTCTCTTATCGGTCCCCTCCATCCACCACCAGCCCTTTGGTGGCCACAGCCGGGGAGGCAGGCCGAGGAAATGAGCCACCTCGTATAAAGGCAAAGAAATGAGGCACTGCCTGTAATGGGATTCGAAGCAGCTTTTGCTGGGAGTCTCTGGAACAGATGGAATTAGGTGCCCCTCCGCCCCGGCTTTCTGCCGCTCTAAGCAGAATTTTTGCTGCTCGCTGAGGGGCGGCTGTGACGGATGCAGCGAGCAGGAGATGCCCACCCGCGGGTCACCGAGAGCAGCTGAAACAGCAAAGGCATCTTTATCACCAAAGCTGCTCAAGAGCTGGTGCAGGCTGCAGGAAAGGAATATGTTTTGGAGTGAAGAAGCTTGAGAATTTGGCTGTGATGCTCCTTGGTTGAATCAGAAGGAGGGGCATAGTGTAAGACAACGGACTCTTTGCCCCCAACTGTACTGTACTTGAGTGTCATAGCACCATAGCATCAGGCACTCTGGATTAGCATCTGCAAAAAATCCTCCATCATGGATAGCTCAAGGGTATAGGAGGAGGTTGGGAGTTTTGGATCCCCACGGTGCCCTCTTGACAAGGGCTGGACCTTGATGATCCGTTGGGTTCCTTTCCAGCTCTGCCGTTCTAAGACGATGACGATGCAGACGATGCAGCATATCTTTTGCACACAGTGGTTCAAGTCCTGTGGCTTAGGGTATGACAGCATTTTTTAAAGGTAGTCTTAAAGAGGAAGGGCAGGATCTGTTCTCAATCCTCCCAGAGTGCAGGACACATCATCATGGGCTCAAGCGAGAGGAAGCCAGATTTAGGCTAAATATCAGGATAAACTTCCTAACTGTTAGAGCAGTACAACAACAGAACCAATGGGAGGTGGTGAGCGCTCCAACGCTGGAGGCCTTCAAGAGAAAATTGGGTCACCGTCTGTCAGATCAGCTTTGATTGGGATTCCTGCCTTGAGCAGGGGGTT